TTTCCCTGCTGTGCAGCTAGACCTGACAAACTCAATGTCCAGAAACATGCCTGCCCTTGGCCCTGGTCACACAGGGTTTTATGGCAAGTTAACTGATGAGAAGAACAGAGAGGAGAGGAGGACCTTTCCCAGCATTTGTAGTTTGGAATGTTTATATAGACATATCGGGCCATCTCCAAGAACTGTGTGTTCTTCAGCCATACATAGTCCTGCCACTTCAGATTTAACTTACCTGCCTTCAGACAGATGATTGTCTTCTGCCATTAATCGGTATAAAAATGAACCTCAGCCTTTGTTAAACTGGTGCTTTCTATGAAAGGATTGGCAAGTATGTGCTTTGAAACTGAGAATTTAAATCCAGATGTCTAAAAGCATAGCCACAAAAAAAGAGTAAAATCCCCCAAATTTCTGAAAAGCTTTTAAAAAATTCACTGATGTGCATTTGATATGCTCACATTACAGCATGCTGGTTTGTTTGTGTGTGGGAAAAAGCAAGATCAAGAACATAAAACCAGGTCAGTTCATGACTGCGGTATTAATACACCCCATTTTTCCCTGATGTCATTCTTATGAACTACCTAATCCTCAAAAACTCCCATGTGTTAATGCTGCCAACATGTTCTAAAACATGTATTAAAACCAACACCTAAGTGCCAGGGTGTGTTTTCCCTCCCTTTAGATCTTAACTCTGTTCATAAAAAAAAAATTAAAAGAATTAGAAAAGCGGAAAGTAATGACTTTCTGTCCTCACACTCTGCCTATGGTCCTTGACTCAGGAGATGTTTCTGCTCAAATGTTTAATGTTCAAATAAAATTGCCTACTTATATAAGCCATTTAATTCAATCAAAGACAGATGTATATAGGACTGATCAAATTAAAAGGAAGTAACTATACTTCTAATTGCAGGCTTTACAAGCACAAGGTTTCTCTCTGCGGTTGAAAAGCTTGGCGCAGTGTTTGGATTTGATTACAGTAAAGCTTTCTGTTGCTGTGATTGCTCATGTTGTTATTCATGCAGATAAACATACATTTACTATTGGTGGATCTGGTAACGCCACTGTATTATTAAGGTTGTGTGACATTTCCCATTTTAAGACCTCATATTCAGCAGCTTAGAGCTTAACCACACTTTAAACACTTGGTTGAATTTGCTTGGGAGTTTTCAGTCCAAAGTGCCAAGCTGTTTCTGAAAGTCATGCTGTTTGTCTGGTTTCAAAATGCTAACAACTTTAAAAATAGATTTATGGACCCTTATACTTATGGGTAGGGACTGAAAAGTTTGGAGGAATGTGGCATACATTTCAGGGCTGTGGTTTCCAGTGTCTCCAAGAAAATTGTCCTGAAGCTGTACATAGCAGAAGTCTCTTTCTGCGAGGAGCCTCCTGAGATCTGGTGAATGCTCTTCCCCCTTTCCCTGCCCTTTTTAAGCACACGTGGGATCTCTAAACATGCAGTACCTTCTGTTTAACTGCTGACAACACTGAGCATACATACATTGCTGCCTGGGGGACTTGATTTGGACCTGTGAGACTACCTGAGGTCAAGCAGAGGTTCATGCCATGGTTGCTTTCTCCTGGCCCAGATGCCAGATCTTGAAAGCAGAGAGGTTTCTCTGTACTCTCAGTGATGCCTTGGAGCACCTGAGCTATCTATGCTTTTTCCTGAATGCTAAGATTCCCATTTTGTCCTCCTGTTCAATGTGCAGAGGTCAGACAGAAAGAGTCAGCATGGGCCAACTAGCCCTGTGCCGACTCTCCTTTCGGGGCAACACCTTGGCCATCAGTTCGAGCTCTGTGCAGCCCACGCACAGCTCTGTCCCTGAGCCAGGCGCTTCCAAGTTGCTGTGGATTTACCTATTCGAACCCTAACAGCAGCAGTGTGGACACAACTCCTAAAGCATCGCATTAGCAACTCCCCAAACAGGGCTGGGATATTACCCGATTCCCAGAACCGCAGGATGAAGTGGAAGGCAATCATGGGCAGCTTTTTACTAATGGTGAACGGAGCAGTAGGCATTTCTATTGAAAGGAAGATCTCACAACAGGAATACTGTTATCGAGGTTTGTGTTTTAGATGATCAATTTATGCAAATTGTATGTAAATTAGACATGGCCCCTTTGATTTCTGGCATGTAGCCAACAACTCTTTCATGTTATAATGTTGGGTAACCTTTGCTTAACTGTTTTCTTTTAAAGTTAGTTACAAATCTGAGCTTTATTTTTCTCTCCCTTAATTTGCTTGTAAAGCACAGTAGGGTTTTTGGAAGAAAAAGGATGTTAACAGTATATGAAATCTGCTCTGTAAAATTAAAATTAGAGGATTTATTTATTAAAACAAATCCTATCATTATGTCAAATACTCTCTGTTTAGGAAAAAGAGCATTATTCTCCAGAAACTTTACTAGGAGGATAATACCATAGAAAATATTAGTCAGGAGATCTTGAAGCTACTGAATGCCATTGGATTGGGAAAAGGACCCTTTGTGTGGTATATTTTTGCATGGTTCCCCCCCACCAAAAAAGAAAAAAGTTGCCATTTTCTTTCTTAAAATAAAAAAAATGAAGAGTTATTACTTTTTTTCCTATTCTAAATGAAAGTCAGCTGCTAACATCTATGTTGGCAAATGCAATGGCTGATGATTCTTAAATCCACGCCGCAGTTTGTGGCTCCAGAACTAGTGTTTGCAATGCTGTTGGGCTCTCTGCTCTACGGGATTTAATTACATGGCCTTTTTGCATATGGAGGACACCAACAACAGAATCACTTTAGCTGGTGGAAACTCAACTGCCCATGCCTTCTCTTTGTGGGCTGGGCTGTAGAACCACCACCGTACAGTCAGGGCCCATTGCGCTGGAATTATGGTTTTATAACAATCCTCTATTTACATACACTGCTGAGGCAGTAAAAACAGCAAACAGATTTTTTAACGGCAGGCAGCCGAAACATCCCCGCAGGGCACGTGCCCCCTCGCCGAGGCAGGAACGCAGGCACGTGTTAAATGAGTTCCATGACTGCCTTCTAGCAGTGAATTATGTTGACATGAAAATGGTGCGTGCCATTCTAGAAATAAAATGGGTCCAATCTTCAGCACTGCCTGTTTCTCCCCTGCCCCACTGCTCCCCTGAGTTTGAACTGGTATGCACATGGCACTGGGGAAAAAAAATAAAAAAATACTGTAAAGCATTTTGTTAGAAAGGTTTCCATTTACTCATCACGAGACTGCTGAGGAATACTTAAATAGACTCAAACAAAGTCAGTAGAAGGAGCTGTTCTCATGCTTCCTAGGACGCTAGCTTGGCAAATGGTTAATTTCATTTATTAAATATGGAGTCTGAGTCAAAGCCATGTTACATCCACGCACACATTACAGCAGCATTTCCTAGGGATTTAAATAATCTTGCTTAGCAATTCTTTCAGTGGCTGCAGCATCCTTCTGCCTCAGAATGATTTTCTTTTGCCCTTGTTGTGCAGCACTCATTTTCTTTCCTTCCCTTAGTAAATAAAGACTCTTAACAACACACATAAGCAGCATAATTGTCCTCACGCTGCACATCACATGCTGGCTTGCCAGTGCTAAGTTTCATTCCTGTCAATTGTCCTCCCATCTCCTTCCACCAACAGCAAAGCCAATAGTGACCCTGATGCACCCTTTGCCCTGGAATGAGAGAAGAGGTGGCTGAATCAAAGCCAAGGATCCAGAGGAGATGCTAGCTGAGATATCTCAGCCTCAGAAAATTCACATTGTCAGGGCTTACTCTGTAAGACCAGAGTTACCTGAGTGAGAAACTTCTGTCTGACAGTCAGTTTTGCTCAGATCTCACCAGATTTCAGCCATGAAAAACTAAACTGTTCTAAAGTTTAGGAAGTTCCTAAAGTTTAGAAAAATCTACTTGGAGGAAGGTGATCAGAAAGGAAATAGGAGAAGAAGGCTTAAAACAATGAAAAACAGAAACAGCAATTACAGATACAAAGGAACTCCATGGACACAGTAGAGCAGAAAACCCTGGACAGTGGTTAAATGCTCCATAAAAAGAGTTTAGTGGGAACTTCCCTAGGGGACCTTGACCAAAACCACTAAGTGGATGGAAATCTTTGAATTTGCAGAAGACCTCTCTGCTGACCATCCTCCTTTTCAGAAGAAGTTTTAGTCTGACAGAAAAGGTGAGCAATGCTGCCTGCTAAGACAATATGGGGAACTGGAAGGGAAACCTGTACACTGCAGAGACAGAAGAGCCCTGAAGGAAAGGTCCTACACATATGCCATTTGTTTTTTTTCCTGCTAAGATGCTGACTGTTCTTATGGTGTGGTAACTTGTGCACTACATTACTGGGTAGTAAGTCATTGGCACCAAATCACACGAGCCACCATATAACCACTGGATAGGAAACTCCAACATGAGCATAGTTTAAATCAATGTCCAATAAACTTGGATAATATTACTTAGACCTTGAAGCACTGAGGCCTCTGAGGAAGCTATAAAATATGCTTCTGAGGGGGCTTATGATGGGGTGGACTCACTATTTTCCATGCAGACATGTAATCAAATTACTCACTCACAAAAGGACCAAGGTGTTTGTGGACAGCTCAGTAATTATTTGTGACAGCTTCAGAAACTGAGAAAGGCAGCAGTGCTGTTGCATCTGTGATGGACATTTGAAATCACCATATTTGTGTACAGCCTTCGATGTTGTAAATGGATCCTGAAAAATCCAGCTGAGCATTACAGTAATTGTAATTCTATTGGTTTCTATAGAAATAGGATTATCCTAACAGCCAATAAATCAATTTCCTCCTGGAACACTAATGCAATGAGAAGGGGCACCATTTCACTGTTATTTATAGAGTAAACAGCTTTTACACAATTTGCAATACCTATCAGAGTTTTATAGAGTTCATGAGATTTTTCAAGCATGTTGCCGCATAAAACCATCTCTGGCAATAAATTGTAGAGGAAAATGGGAAGGAGGGGGAAGCCATAAAGTAATGCAAAATATTTACCACCAGATGGCACGGTGGTACAGGTGCCGCCGTTCTGGCAGGGATGTCTCTCACAGGCATCGGGGTAGAGGACGCAGCCAAGCTTTAATTCCGTCAGGCCAACCACTTCAGCAAAGCTGCTGCGCTTGTTTTGGAGCGGCAGTTCGTTGTTATTTAGGACAACTGAATCCAGGCAACCCTGAAAGCCGCTCAAAACCTGCGTTGTTCTTTTGTCGGTCAGACTGCGGACGTTATCCACTTGGACCTGGGCGCCGAAGTAGACGGAGCTATCCGTGCTGAGAGTCTGGAAGTAGAGGGGGGCTTTGCGGCGCTCCACGTAGCTGTCATCCAGGGACAAGCTTGTGAAATTACGATTCAGCTCCAAGAAGACCGAATGCCAGCTTCCATCATTAACTGCCCTGCCAGAAATTCCCAGGATTCCCGGGCCACTTCCGCAGTCCAACTGGAACCACAATTTGCCATCGACAATCTGCGGGAGGAAAACAGAAATCAAGGTGCTTCAGGCAGTCATCTGTCTCGTAATATGCTCTCATGGAGAATCTGGAAACACAGAGGACTTCTAGACATTCTCTATACAGTGTTAAAGCTGCTCTCCTACGTGACACTAAAATAGCAAAAAGCTGTGCTTTTGTCATCAGCAAAAACCATAAGGTGAGAAATATCAGCCTACTTAGAATTTATCCAAAGCCAGTTACTGCAGCCAAACTGAAAATGCAGAAAAATATAGATATATAGATGGAGAACACAGGAGAGGACTAGGATAATTGTATGCCTCACTGAACAGGGCATGGACTGGAAGACCCATGTTCTGCTCTTGGTTCTGCTGCTAAGCAGTTGCGTCTGAGCAAATCCTGCCATCCACCCGTGTGCTGCAATTCTGCTCCTGGTAGTTGATGCTACCAAAAGGACAGTCAGGGCAAGAGGCCATCTCCGAGTGTTTGAGAGAGGTTTGTGGAAAAGTCAATGGCCACTACTTTCAGCTGGGGATGTTAGGTGCTCCACTCATGCACAAGTCCTGTGCCTCTGTAATCTTCTGGAGCATCTCAGTGAGGTGTGGATTTGTCCCTAAGTGTCATAAGATCAGTTTCTCTAAGTACAACAATAAGATTCTGGTTGACCAAAAGTCAGTTATTTTCCAAGGATGCTATGCTACCTCTTCTGCATATACATCATAGATGATATAGAATGGCTCCTAATTTTCTTCCTTTCTTGATATTTATCCTGGGTTCATGGCTTTAGAGGAATTGTTAGGATTTCTCACTCTCCCTCCCACCTCTCACCCATCTGAAGTCCTCATAAAGGAAAAAACTGTCCCAGCCTGCTGGGGCAGGCAAAGTGCGGAGTGAGGGAATAGTTATGAAGTGCTGCTTTCCTGATTAGCAGTTTATCCAAAGATTTTAGGTTTCTTTACCAGATGGCAGATAAGTTTAGAATGGCTGACAAGGCTGGAAATAATTTCTTATGACACATTAATTGGATTCAAGCTCTCCGAAAGCTCTTGCAATTATTTTACCTTTATGTCATGCTCTAGGAAGTATTTATTTCTGCAAACTCCATCTCAAGACAGTCCTGTCCCATTATTTATCCCCCTGAAAAGTTCAGGCGCTGTGTCCTTTTTCATCCTTCCCTGCAGCATACATTGTACTCTCACTGCTTTATCTGTAACACAACCCTACTGCTCTCCCCACACAGAGCAGAGTTGCCACAGCTGTCAATGCAAGAATCCCCCTGAGCTTTGGTGACCTGCTAAACTGGCATGGATACTGCAGATATGAGGACGCTGCATTGTGTCCATATGTCTTTGGACATTTTTGGCTGTTTCTGGTATGAATAGTCATTTAAAACTGTGTTAGTTAGAGACATCCCTTGGCATGTGTCTGAACTGGTGTTCAAACTCTTCTCTGCCAGGCTCTCTGATGTGGCTTGAAGGTAAATGGGATACTGTTTATCTACAGGAGCAGACTGTGCTGTTGAGTCATTACCAACATTTTACTGTCCTTGGAGGTTCATAAAACTACCTGGAGAAAAGCTAAGGGTAAAATCTCGAGTTCTAATGATCACTGGACTTTCATCTCCTTTCCAGACCTCAGTGTTTTGACCAGCTGAATTTGAACTGGGCTGTAACATCAAGCCAAGTCACACTGGGCAGTCGGTGTGTAAACCACACCACTCCACTCCTCCTGCAATTGCTTAGATGGAGTAGGCACAGAGATGCTAAACCTGTGACAAGCTCCTCATAAATGCCAGCTACCTACTTACTCTGCATGGCATGAGGAGTGTAGAGGGACAGATACGTAGAAGGAGCCAGAAGAGCAAGAATTAACTATGGAAAGAGGCTATTTTGAAGTCCTTGACCTGTAGGATGTAATGAAGTTGAGAAGAAGTGATGGCAATACAACATACTTGAGCGATGGATGTTGTTTGGCGCTCCTACAGCTCAATCAAAAAAGGCTAATGGATGTACAGAAAAATATGTCTGGATCATTTTTCATTAAAAAATCTTTTCTTCCAGGTTTTAAAACTTAGCTGTAAACTATTTCTGTAGATTGAAATTGGGTCTATTAAAGCATCTGCTCAGGAGGAATCTTGGTAAACAACATGCCCAGATAAACTGAGCTAGTTTCTCTCTGGAGATGGAGCAATAGTTTCTTTTCTCCCTGTGCAACAAAACAGTCCACAAACCTTGAAGGCACTGCTCAGAAAGTGTGGTCTGACTCAACAGGAATACAAATCAAACAGAAAAATACATGCCAACATATTACACTTTGAAAAACAGTCATCATCGGATAAGCAGTTAACTTGCTTCTTATTCAAAAGGTTTTTTCCTATGAAAACTGTTCTACTGATTGTGTATAATATACATATACCTCCCCTAAGACTACTTATACCCTGAAGAACCTATGCCTGCATGTCTATTACCCTTACTCACAGAACATGCTTTTCCAATTATCTTTATAAATACAACACCACATACGAGCACCTGGGATAAATATTATACCATTTGTATATGGGAAACGATGATCTGAAAGATTTGCCAATAAAATATGTTTTATACATCTTTCTCATCCACTTTTATTTTTTTTTTGCCAGCAGATGATCTGACACACACAGTAAATATATATTGTCTGAAAGATTATGTATGTTTCCTTCCTTGTATTAAAAAAGCAGTAGTAACCCCCACCTCAGGCTAGAGTGAAAGACGGAAAAGACCGTTCGACGCTTACAGTACTAGCCTGAGATATGATAGATATGCATGGGAATCCATACTCTGCAACACTCTTCCTCTGGGATCTCAAGTAAGTCATTAGTTTCAGGTCTCCATCAGTAAGGAAGGATAACGTCATTTCCATACCTCACACCAGTGCTTTATGGATACATACATTAAAGACTGTGACATGCCCAGATACCCCTAGCAATAGGATCATAAAAATATTTTCATTAATCAGAAGGTCACAGGCCTTGCTGTAGTAGGGCAGGGTGGAAATACTTGTCTCCTGCTCACCCTGTGCCTCTAGAAAGAGGATGAATAGGAACTGGTGAGGCTGCACCTCAAGTATTGTGTTCAGTTTTGGGCTGCCTGTTACAAGAAGGACATTGAGGCACTGGAGGGTGTCCAGAGAAGGGCAACGAAGCTGGTGAAGGGGCTGGAGCACAAGTACTATAAGGAGCTGCTGAAGGAGTTGGGATTGTTTAGTCTGGAGAAAAGGAGGCTGCGGGGAAACCTTATCGCTCTCTATAACTACCTGAAAGGAGGGTGTAGTGAGGTGGGTGTTGGTCTCTTCTCTCAAGTAACCAGTGATGGGACGAGAGGAAATGGTCTCAAGTTGCACCAGGGGAGGTTTAGATTGGAGATTAGGAAAAAAATCTTTAATGAAAGAGTGGTCAAGTATTGGAACAAGCTGCCCAGGGCAGTGGTGGAGTCACCATCCCTGGAGGTGTTCAAAAAACGTGTAGACATGGCACTTGAGGACATGGTTTAGTGAGCATGGTGGTGATGTGTTGATGGTTGGACTTGATGATCTTTTCCAACTTTAATGATTCTATGAACAGCTCGTGAGGAGTGGAGGTTGCAAAGGGCTCTGTCCTGCCTATTTAGCAGTTAGGCTGGGCAGGGAGGAGAAGTATCCTCCACTCAACAGGGCAAAACGACATCTCCACTCCTAAGCATGGACAATTCAACCATGATCTTTGATTCAGCAATTAATACCTCGTGTCTTCATGATTCCCTGTAACAGCCTGTGACGTCAGGGACACTGTTCAGTCCTCAAAGAGGGCTCTTTGATAAGAGCCTGAACCTTGCTACCAAGAAAAGCTGAATTTCAAGTTAACTTCTTATTAAATGAGGTACATTCAAGTAAATAGTATGGAAAACCAATGAATAGCCATTTCTGTTGTCCAGGCTCAGCAGTTATCCAGACAATAATCTCAGTGGGATGACTGGTCTCGTTGAGGACTGGTAGCATCAGACTCTCAGTTCAGGACTGAAGGTGTGTCACTGCTTTTTTCTCCACCTATGTGATGTAACACAGCAGAGAGCTTGAGTTACTCTGTCTCACAGCAGAGAGATGCAAACTCTGCACCCCCTTGCTAATGCAGCCTACAACACCAGCAGAGACCTTCTGCTCCAAAATGAAAGCAGAGAGACACTGCTTCATCCTCAATGGGCGAGTTATTCCCACCAAACCTCCACCTCTCAGAGCTTTCTGGGCTTAGTTACAGTATGTCTCGTTACAGCTATCAGGACAGGGAGATTAATGTATAGTTAAGCATATATGCTCTTACAGACACAACATTCCTCACCTGTAGAGAAGTACAAAGAACAGAGAAGGCTCCAAAAGCTGATGCAATCTGTTACATTTCAACAGCTTCATTCAATGAGGAAAATGGAGCCAAACACATATTGTAAATTATATTAGAATATTAGCCTGGCTAAGTTGTTTGGCTAACATCCATATTTGTGTATCAACATAGGTAATAAAATGATCAAATGGTTCTTCAGAGACCACCTTAGGCTCACATAGTCCATCTGCAGTCACACACCATGGATACAGCATGCTGACTACTAATCTATCTGGGGAAATATTTCGTTAGCCGAATTACATTTCAGGTTCGTTTGTGTAAAACGGTATATTTAATTAAAATATTACTCATTTCAACTCCAGCCATAACTGGGATCATATCCAAGCTTCAGTCTTATCCAGCGTAAGCCATGCAGCAGTAATGCATTAAAATGTATAATATACACTTAACTAAACCATGCTAAGTTTTACATTAACTGCCTGGATGGAAGAACATATGCTTGCCTTTTCTCATTTAACAGCTATATTTCTGGCATGATAGGAAAGTCTTTCTTTACCTATTATTAATCCTTTAAATTTCACAAACCAAGTTGAATCTCCATTATATTCCTTGGAAAAAAGACATACATTATGGAATTCTCTTCTGCAATGGCCTCGCAATGTTTTAAATTGTTGAATCCTACTTTTCCCAGATAGATGCTACATAGGAAAAAGGAAATGGTGATACCATTTTTGGCACACGTAATCTTTTCAAAGGGAAAAAAAAGGCCATCAACCTGCATCTCATTTTGCTCCAATTGTCTTAAAAGCAAGAGCACGTAACAAAAAAAACCCAAACAGCCAACCTCTCAAAATCGATGGACGAGTTGCTTTATTTGAAACAGCTGAATAAATAACACCCTTATTATATTGTATCAGCACAGTGTAGCTCGTAGGCTTTCAGCAAAGTAGTAGACAAGCAGTTTGCTCTATGGAATTGATTATTCATCCAAGAAGGATGCTGTATTATGATTATGAAATTTTTCCATCCCTGGAGTTATCACAAATGTATGAGCTCCCAAAATTAAGCTGGTCATTTAAACACTGAAAAACATATTGCAGCATTAATTTTTAAATAGACTGCAACAGAGGAGGCTTGCTTCAAAAAAAAATCAATGCCACTACCTGCCCCAACAGCGGTGTTTTCTGCCCCTTCTCCCATGGGCTCATACTATGTGGTTGGTCTGAATTTCTTCCACCTCTACCTTTGTTTGGAGCTCAGTGTTGGTGCTGGGCCCTCTGGTCCTAATCTGGCAGATACTTAAGTACATGCTTAAAATTAAGGTATATGAGTAGTTCAAATTGCCTTCAAATACAGGAAGTTAAGCAAGTGATTAAGTGCTTTGCTGGAGAGATGCCAGAGTGCTCAAAAGAGCACAGGATCCCATCCTTTATCCTCTATTTGGAAAGCTTCTCCTCATGTTTAATTTAATTGAAAGCAATGCTCAAATGATAACAACTTCACATTTACAGACCTCTAATTAATCTATGTAATGGCCTCATCTCTGAGCGCTTCACTACATACATACCTGGTTAAAAAAACCAAAACAAACAAAACACTAAAAAAGCCTTGCCTCTGGTTTACAAATGAAAAAAAAACCAAACATATGCTTAGAAAGTCTAAGGGTAACTTGCTTGAAACCATCTCAGTTAGGGATCCCAAAAGTACAGTTCATGAGTCAGCTGAAGAAACCTGCTACGGCTATGTCCCTTGAGCATAACGCCATTCATCTGTCATAGAGCACTTTTGTGAAACCTTAGTCTGATATTCCTCTGCTAAATGACCTTTACAAACAAAAGTCTAGCAATTCCTGATCTTTTGCGTGATGCCATTTCTTCAAACACCATGTTGAATGTAATACTTTATTTTTTTTTTAAGCCCTACACTTAAAGAAGCCAAGGGCTAGATCTGGGAAAAGGATGTACCCACTGCAACAGCAAATCCTGCCCTACCTCAAAGCCAAGCATGAGGCTCTGGGAAGGGAATTTTCTGTGTCTTTCCTTGTCTGATGCATGGGAGAAAGTGGAGCCCTTTCATCCATAACATCACATACAAGCCCCTGGACCTCTCTAATCAGACAGGTGAAGCAGCAGCTGTGTCTGAAGCACTCTACCAAGTGCAGCATGAGATGGGTTCAGAGCTGTAAATACTTTCCTAGAGCTAGGGGGCAAAAAAGAGCACGACCTGGAGGATGGGCTCTCAGATAGGAGCAGAGCAGCTGCAGCTCCTGTTGCTGCTCCTTCAAGTATTATTTTTTCCTTCCAGTATCTTTCAGAGCAAAATGGTAAGGTGATTGTGTGAAGTAGTGACTGAAAACACAGAATTCCTGCCCCACAACTAAAGACTCAACCCAGGTGACTGCAATGAGAGGGTGTCCTTTTTTTCTTCGGGCAGCAAAATCTCCCAACTTCAATCAGTTGCCTATGACCTGACCTGCTGGACTTCTTAATCATGAAAGTTTTATACACTAAACTCTAACAAAATAAATTCTTGTATCATCGCTCAAACTCCATTTCAGTCTGTCTTTGTACCATCTCCTATTGTTCTCAACTGGCCCTTTTCACCAGGGCCATTTGTTTTTTTCCAAGCATTTTTCAAAACTACAAAATTGCAAACGTTCCCTAATGATATAGGTTAAGAGCAACCACGATGAAGACTTTAAAGGTCTTCAAGCCTGCAGTTTAGTTTTGTTTTTTTGAACAAAAAAGTATACTGAAAATTTCAAACCGTGCATTTCTACACGTCTCAATGCAGAGCTTTATTGTCTTGTAGAATCTGAACAACGCTGAAAGTCCCCAGTGAATGACAGACAGTACTCCTGCTCATGAAATATTTCAGTCTAACAGCTATAAAATTATTTGTTGCCCATTAATAACTCATCTAGCCATTTTAACATTACCTAAGCATTCATCCAAAAGAACTCTAAAGATTGCAAATACACGCACAAAAGGCTCTGTGCCATTTCTCTCACTGCTGAATTATAGGACATGGCCAAGTTACAAAAGTCAGTATCTTCATCTTGTACCTTAGAGGCTCTAGCAGAAATACTGTATGTGCAGGCTTTTGGATGAGCCTAGCACTCCCTTTCCATCCAGCAGATACTTGCCATTCCACAGAAACCCAACAGAGAACAAAAATGCATGGTGAGCTTATCAATTAAACATTGGCTGGATATCAGTCTCCAGCTACCTCATGCCTCTCTCAACAAATAATCTTAATTCACAGAGTGCAGAAATCTTCACATTCATTAGGAGACACGTTCTAAGCCGTTTGTTTCTGGAATTAACTTGACAGCAGTGAGGGCATATCCTCTAACTGCAGGCATGGGCACAGGGGAAGAACAGCTATTTCACCATGCATCGTTTTGACTATATGGTCATACAAATGGCCAAATCTTACATCTCGTACAGATTGGCTGCTGCATGCAGACACACGTAATGTTCTTATAATGAACAGCACCCAGTGGAGCACTTTCCAAGTAAAGTACCACTAACAAGCTGCTTTTTTGATTGTTGTTTTTGCTGCTATTGTCGAAATGGCTGTTTTTCCCTGTTAGCATGAAACAGATTAGACTTCACCTTCTCAACCTACAGCTGAAGTGAGAACAACATTCCCCAAATCAAGAGCCAATAGAAAACATATAATCAAGAAAAACAACTGTGGAAAAGATAAGTTATTTTAATTACCTTCAGAATTATACAGGGATTCGCTCTGGTGTACATTATAATCCCATTGCTTTGCAGGGTTCGCAGACGGAGAGCCAACTTGAATTCCTCTTTCTTGCTATTTTCAGAAACCCGGTATTTAATGTAGCTATTCCCAGCAAAGCTAAGGGAAGTGTGGCCTGAAATAACCATTTTGAAAAGACACATGTTCTTTTAGTGACACATGCAATAATTCCTCAACTGTCAAGTTAATTAAAGAATTTATAGAGCCTCATTTATAATGAGAATGTCTTGGAAGAAATAAATAAAACCCAACTTTGATGAGAAAAAAAGCTGGCACTTACTACAAAAACATATTGCATTTGTTGGGGAAACTTGTTTTTCAGGGGGTGGAAGAAAGTTCTATTTTTCCATACTTATGAAAAAGAGAAATTTCTCCAAGTGTTCAGCATGTTTAAGATTACACACCCTTGGAGGCACCTATGTTGCCGCACTTATGACAGAGGGAGTCAGAGATGACCATGACTTCACCGGCTTCCACCTGGCTCTTCATATCCCAAGAAACAACACAACTGCAGAGAACTAACAAATGTCTTCAAACTTTCTTTTTGGGGTTGTGTAGTGTTTTCATTAATAAAGACTGGAATTTCAGTAATCTAAATAGTAAGCAGAAGAGTAAATTATAGAGCTTTGCCCATGGCAGGAAAACATCTGGCATAACAGACTCTATGAAAAGTTCTGTTTTCTCAACAGCCTGTTTCACTGGTCTGGGATTCAACCAAATCAGTGGGGATTTCTCAATGGAAACTGGAACATGGTTCTCATACAGCCCCATAGCTATAAAGACAAGTACTTTACAGGGCTTATGAACAGATATGCCAAGTGCCAGTGCTGAGAAGGGTTAAGCAGTACATCTGTTGAATTCAGTGGCACTTCTACCTAAAAAATGAGAATAGTGGCACTTTGTTGTTCAAGTATATCCCCCTTTACCACTGTGACATGCACCTGAGCATTCGCCAAGCTTTCCTGGTGGGCACTGGCAGATGAACGGTCTCCGGTTAGCTTCATACCCCACACACTGCATGTCCCCTGGACACGGCTTCTCCAGACAGGGATCATTCGACCCTGGGCAGAGTCCTCCTGCAATAAGTTAAATACTGTCAGGGATACAGCATAAAGCATGATTTTCAGTAATACAAGAGTAATGAAAGACAGTTATTGACCTCACACTTCAGTACAAGCAAAGAATGACTTAATAACACTAACAAAAAAAAATATAAAACCTTCACGGTACTTTGGACAAGTATGTAGCAAAACTGTTATGGTTCTTCTTCAAAGGCTGCCCTAAAACCCATGGCAATGTATTATAAAAACCAACTATTATGAGCAGTAACTGGTTTATAATTGGTGTTGTGACTCTCAGGCCAGTTATTTTCTCACAAAGCCTCCCATGCAGGGGATTTAGGGATATGAGAAAAGAAACAGCATGAAGCTATGCACTCCTTTTGCCCTAGCACACCCATGAGAAGTAAATTTAGAGAAGTAGAGTTCCCTAGGAAACAAAATAAGAAAAAGCCATTCCTGGGCTACAGAGTGACAGCTGGACTTTTCACCCTTATCCTGCACAGGACACGCTGTCAGCCTGATCGTATGGCACAGGCAAATTTGTCCCCATGTTACTCCTGACATTTCCGAGATCTCACATTCTATTATGCACCTTCCCCAGGCTGCCAGAACCTATCCTCCTTTTTCAGGTTGTGACTACACAAGTCCTGTTGCATCTGAAACTGCATATGTCCAGAAAAAAACAACAACAACAAAAAAAACAACCTAAAAAAAAACCCCAAACAAGTGGATTATTTGATCTGGATGCTAAGAACTCAAAGTGAAAAAATTTTGAAACTAAAAAATAAGTTTACCATATTTCTTGGCATTGCCTAAATGAAGAAAGAAGCAGCTTAATAGTCTAAGTAGCTAGTTGCAATTTATAATTATAAATTGGGCAAAAATATCCTTGTCCATTTTAGATGAGGAAGAACATAATTTGGATAAAATTATTTTGAATGCTAGTGTCAACTCTTCCCTAAACTTTTATTAGTATGGAATCTAATCTTGGTCAAGAATAGGTGAATTCAGAACTACTACTAACTTCCTAAGGGAAGTAATCTGAAGGGACAGATGAATACTGTGTTTTAAATTTGCTTAAAATACTGGTATGACACAATTACATTGAGGATCTTCAAAATCTCCTAAATACTTAACATTTATCGAGCTGAGCATGTCAAGGGCTTACTTTAAAGCCTGTCAATGACCAAGGAACTTCTTGCATTCCATGGGGTCCACGGGCTTTGGCTAAAACTTATTTATATAACTTCTAGTTTATGGTTGGACTTGATGATCTTAAAAGTCTTATCCAACCAAAACAATTCTATGATTCTAGAAGTGTATAAATAAATGATTTGATTGCCTTAATCTTAAAAGATTTGAAAACACTGTCCACAAGAATACAAAACACAATACAATGATTGCTGCTTAATATATGAATTCTTAGGAATATATGATTTCCACGCCAGCTAGCCTTTTCTTCGTTGCAATAAGGAACTTGGTAGATGCAGGGTCACCTTCTATCTTTGGACATCTGTATGTGGCTGCTATGAAAGTAACCTTTAAGTGCTGGAAAAAAGGCACTCCTGCCTTTCCTTCTGTCGATTTGCAGACAGAGCTCGGACAGAGGGAGAACGAGTTGCTGATGTTTTTAGCAATAAAAAGTCAGCACCTTTCTAACCATCACCTTCTGAATATTGGCAGTTCTTGTTTATTGCAGGGCCCTTATTGTACTCAAAAACTACTTTATTTTTTGAGCATATGTATTTTATTTACAATTTATAAAGGAAGAAATGAACCTGTCATAGAGTATATCTCCAAAGTAATAAAATAAAGGATCTTATTGCCCTCACACTTTAGTACAAGCCAAGAAGGGCTCATAGTAAGCACAGCTGAAATTACCTGGCATTGTAAGTATTTTCTGGAAACAGAAAAATTACTACTGTAGGTTTCAAAGTGGACATGGGCTGACTACAAATATGGCAAAGACTGTAAATGTCTTGCTTGATGTACAGCACAGTCAATTTAATCTTTAACATCCTCCCATCCTTTGTCAAACATTTGTTTGAGAGGTCTATGCAGTAAACGATTTACAGTACTGCCTGTAGCACTGTTAGAAAATGATGCATGGCAATCTTTATTAATCACTTTAGTAGGTAACATTAACAGGAATAACAGCTGCAATATACAGTCATACTTTAATTCTTATAGAATCAAGAAACAAATGTCATTTAATAGGGTCGGCACTGGAGAACTAGATTCTATTGAAATGTAATGTCTGCAGAATTTAACAGAGAATATGATGTTTTCTATAGCTTATTTTTTAGAAAAAAAACCCTAATTCTTTGGAATTCAATGGCAAGTAACAATTATTTCTTAAATTATAGCAGGTGGTTCAATATTCTATAGACTGCCTTGTATTTTCTCCTTGGTTCTTTTGGCTGTTTTAATTCATTCTTATGTGACAAATACACAGCATTCTGCTGTACACAGAATATATCTCTTCTCTGAACACACTTAAACCTTTTGTGAGGCTGTAATTCAAGTGAGCCTCTGTGTAGCTGACAGACAAGACATTTGGACAAAAGCCCCACAGCTTGTCAGTGTGCAGCAGAAAGGGGCACTGAGATTTCCAAATGTGGCTCTGCAAATTTTCACATCCCCTAACCTATGACCGTACTTTTGACATGAAGCAATAAAGCAATAGTTTACTTTTTTATCCACCTTTGCCAGTTATTTTACCTGATTCAAATTCTGATTTCTTCTTCAGAGTCATCCTTCCACAGTCAAAAAATATATGGAAAGGATCTAACGTATTTAGTGTAACTGTGGAGATACACTAAAGAACTGCTTATCCTGGCAGGCCGAGACTAGTTCTTCCAGTAAACTACAAGCAAATCAACTTTTTATTCATCCTGCTGCAGCAGGATTTCATAGCTGTCACAAAAGTTTTAAAATATTCAGACTTGGGGAAGAAATGCTTTACGCCTGTCTGTATGGTTACAAGTACATAAGCTACAAATCTGCATTATTGCATTGCCCTAGCTAACACACATTTTAAGGCTGATTTCACAACCATGCAGAGCAAAATTGTGAAATCGTTCAAAGTTACGTTGTCCACATCAAAGATTTACAGCCCGAGTTTAAATCAAATTATTCTAATGTTGCATTTCCACTCCAAAGAACAGTCTATTTACCATCCAATAAGAGATTCAAGAAATATGAATTTGAATTGATCTCTTTTTTTTCCGTAGGCAAGTCCAGACAATCCATGACATTCCCTTGAAAATCACATTGGTATTAACAAAGCTGTTCTCTGCAAGGTATTGGAGAGACACATGAGCTAGTGTCAACAAAAGCATAGCAGGAAAAGGTGGACTATCATCTTCAATTTAATTTCCCAAAAGAAGGTAAAAGTATTACAATCTCCCTACTCATACACTGAGGAAGAAAACACTCTCCCAGTGCAAAACGAGACATATATTTAATTCCCGTCCATCCACAGAAGGATCACTTCCAGTAATGTAAATATATTTTGAAAATTGAGTGCTTCAACAATTTTAACCTGGCCCTTATGGTATTTTGTGTTTTTCTGTAAGTTCATTCTTGTGAATCTATATAATCATCAAAAAACGAGTCTGTTTCTCTCAGTTGCAGAAAAAAGCTTGAAAGGTGAGTCCTGAAAGTCGAAGTCCCAGAAAGCAAAGAAAGCAAAGCTTCAAACTGTTACCTTTAAAACAGTGTAATAATTAGCTAAGAGGGGACGGAGGACAATCAACTCACAAGCTGCAATTTGTTTTTATTTTTGGAACACGATGACCAGGTATTGTAAGCAAACATTACCGTATACATACCAGTGCAGATATCACAAGCTTTTTTCTGCACAAGTCAAACATGGGTTTCAGTTAGCACAAGTACGCCTGGAAAACTGTGTGTCACACACTAGTATGTCCTAGTGAATCAGATTTTCTCCCAGTTTTAGAAGAATTGAGACATTTGACCTCGTCCATCCACTCCTTGATCACAGCTTCTCTTAAAACCCCTTAATGGTAAATCACAATTCCCACTTGCCTCAATTCTACATTCATGCCTCTACTTCATGCTTCAGCACTCCAACATTTTATATGAGATTGTCCTTCTACTCCACTCTCATGAGACCCCACTTGGTGGAGCACTGCATCCAGTTCTGGGGCCCCCAACATAAGAAGGCCATGGACCTACTGGAGCGAGTCCAGAGGAGGCCACCAGGATGATCCAAGGGCTGGAGCACCTCTCCTATGAGGACAGGCTGAAAGAGTTGGGGTTGTTCAGCCTGGAGAAGAAAAGGCTCCAGGGAGATCTTATAGTGGCCTTCCAATACCTGAAGGGGTTACAGGAAGGCTGGGGAGGGACTTTGTACAAGGGCAGGTAGTGATAGAACAAGGAGTAATGGCTTGAAACTGGAAGAGGGCAGATTTAGATTAGATATTAGGAAGAAATTCTTTACTGTGAGGGTGGTGAGACACTGGCACAAGTTGCCCAGAGAAGTTGTGGCTGCCCCCTCCCTGGAAGTGTTCAAGGGCAGTTTGGATGAGGCCTTGAGCAACCTGATCTAGTGGAAGGTGTCCCTGCTGATGGCAGGGGGGTTGGAACTGGATGATCTTTAAGGTCCCTTCCAACCCAAACCATTTTATGATGACTCTATGATGATGAGATTGTGCATTCTCAGTGTGGGCCTTAAAATGGGTGATATTCACAGGGAGAAACATCTCTCCTTACACAAGTGCAATGTGAAAAGGACTCCAGTCAAATTAAGTCTCTTTAATTTTTCTGCAGCTTTTTTGTTCCCAAGCAAAGGCAAGACACCTTCAATCTTTTTGACTATCTTGTCAGGACAACTCAAGGTTCATTAGTATGTGTATGCTTCCTGAAAATGTGGTATTGTACACATAGGAATTGGGTTCCTGATCCCCACTCCTGTAAAACAATTAGGACTCTTTAAGGCGCAACATGTGCTCTGTATTAGCAGAGGACATAGACCACCTTTTAAGATTAGGTCCTATATTAATAGTAGATCTTATAATGCATCATAGTCTATGATTTCCTTTGTCAGAACATTCACAAAATGCTAGAAGTGGCTTCACAATGTCTGAATTGCCTGGTTTTGTGAGAAAGTGGTCCAAGACTGCTATTCACTTGATTAAATAACGTGAATGTGAGCGTCTGCACTTCTGCTGAACACTTCTGGGTCTATTAGAAAAATTCTTTCAAACTATTAAGCCAGAACCATATTAAACACTTGAAATGGAATTCATCTCATCTAACTTTAGGGCATGATTCATCCGACTGATTTTAGACATCTAGGGAGAGATGTATCACATCATTAAAAAGACCTCATTCTTTCCACTGTCTGAAAATGGGGCCTGGAGTGACCAGCTCAGATGCAGATATGTACTCACATTTGTCAAGATTATTTCAATTCATCCCTCTGCCATAAACATATTAATGTAACCTCACTGTTGTAAGATTATAATGCAGAATAACTCCATAGCAAAGTAGCCCCAACAAAACCTACTTCTTCCCTGCATCTTTGTCTCAACACAAAATAATTACATTCCATCATGAAAATATAAAAATACAAAATAGATTTTTTCCGTGTGAAAAATGAGAATGTCATGAGAACTATTTTACATGAATATATTTATTCCGGTCCTCTTATCTTCCTTTCTTACAAGCACTGACAGATGTTTGCATTCCTCTCGTCATGTGATGGGAGATTGGCAATCTCATAACCCCTATAGCCACAGTGAAACAAACCCCAGTTTGTTATAATATTTTTCATACAGACACAAGTAGATGAGCCAGAAATCTAAGGAGACAGTCTGTTATTGGAAAACTCTTTAGTTCAATTTTATTGATTTTAAAGACTTAGATTGATGCACCTGAACTTTCAAACTTATCCTTCCGGAGCTGAGCTGCTGAATCTCTAAAGTTCACCCCGTGCCTGCTTTAGTCTCCTTGCATTTTCATGTTAGATAACTCCGTTTGCTCACAAAGGTAATCTAGGTAAGTTATGCACAGCTGGCATGCATAAATTGTGCATATCTGTGACATCTGCCAGTGGGAAAAACACTCCAAGTATGATACATATTTCAAGAATGAGTGAATTTGTTCAAACTCAAGCTTTCTGGGTCATAATTGAATCAGATCTCTGGAAACATATGCAATGTTTTAATGGCTTTGTCAAAATTCAAGCTATTAATATTTACTGGACTGGATCATGAAATATCCTAGTAACAAAAGAAGTATAATACTACCATAATACTTTTATTGTCCTGATAATATCTTGCTAATGCTGTCTTGTTAAACAAGCCAAAATAAATTTATTCCAGTATTTTGTGTACTTTTATTGACTTGCTGCATTTATGTCCAAGTAGAAGAACTAATGATCAAAGAAGTACTTGCATTTTTCTAACTCTTTTACTGGGTCTAGTCTTGAGCCTTCATGAAAGCAAAACTTTACATACATTCTTTAATTAATGTACCCTCAGAAGTCTGTGTTACCTCCTATGTGATAAAACACAGTGTGTGTCTCTGTATTTACCTAAATACCAAGACATTTCTTGTAGCTTCTTTAATTAAAAATGGTAGATGAGGCTGAAGGATTAACTAATGTGGAGAAGGGCAAAGCATGGATTTTTTTACTTCCCCCTAAGATATCTTATATATGTGCAAGTAACAGGCACCAAGACTTACTCTTCTCTGGTGGCTACGTCTAAATCAGCAGCTCTGGACATTTTTGTTACAGGTTGGATGGTGGACTGGACATGGACAATGTCACCCCAAGTCCTGTGGTTCACCTAGGGGAAATGAGCACGTACTGGCTCGAACAGGAGCTGTGGGAACCCTTCCAGCTTTCCAGCTGAACTGTTCTCATACAGCAGTCTTCGAGGGCATGATGAATGGTCCAGAGGGTAGGGAACACCAACAGTCTGAAGAACCACACTGCCTTTCCAGCAGCCTGCCATGTATTTTGAGGATTGACTGGTACATGATAGAAAAATTTGGAAATCATTATCCCAGCTGAATTTTTGTGATTCCAATGCAGACTTGCTGTGCAGGGAGGACGAGGGAGAGAGCTGCTGGATCAGAACTGTACTGCATTGCAAAAACCATTTTTTGGAATTAAGCTAAGGGATTATGAGGCAGATCCACTTACTATTAGTATCTGAAGAGAATAATACATCATTATTGACTTTACTAAGTAGTGAAATGAAATTATAAACAGTGAAAATTTTGGCTGCGAGAAAACCAATTTCTGACAGTGAGGGCTATCACTATCCCCATGGAGATGAGGATTTGTGATTTCTTGGTACGAAAATGAGACAAAGCTATGACTTAAGAGCATATAAAAGTGTTTTGCAGACAGTGCTCCTGCATGGCTCCTAGGCTCGTCTGGAAGATATTACAGCATTGTCCCTTTTAAAATTGGGAAAATCCTTTATTTCAGAGCTTTTCATGTGTAACAAAATGCCAACTATTGTTATAATAGATATACCTGTTTGAAAGTTTTAACACTATTACTTAAAAATTGACTAGATAGTCTGCTCTTGAATGTACATGAAAACACCTCAGATGCAGAATTCAGGTATTTTTGCTGAACTGAACTTCTATGGCATTATTATTCATGAGCCACAGGAGACAATGATTTCTGGTTAAGTTTTATGCAATTTATGCCTATTTTCATCCCCGTTGAAGTTGACAGTAAGAGATGAAGGAAGTCCTGCTGACTGCTGCAGAAACAAAGGTTGGTTACTGAAAGACATGGCTGCTGCATTCTTGTACTGCTCTCTGTGTGTGCATGTGTGCGTGTGTGCTTAAGATGAGGGAGACTCAGATGTATTGATTTTACAGCAGCTTTTTTCTCTACTCTTAAATGAAGTGGAATGAGGAGCAAATAGCCTGGCAAACAAAAGAAACAGCACTATTATTATAACTGCCTGAGGTTTTATACTCCAAGTGCAGAATCAAAAGGAAGATTGGCTCTCAAGTCTGTCATATATGCCCATGTGATGTCTCTGCCAAAACGTGGAACAGCCTGAAACCCAACCAAAACCCCACCCTGTCACCTACTGTAGCATTACAGGTCAGGAATAGTGCTTGCCTGCAGTTACTTAATAAAATACTTCATTGGTTTCCATGCCTCTCTGCAAAAATGGGACTGGAAAAGGCCTTTCCACCTGCACTGCTTAGGTCAGAGGTCCTCCTCCCTTGGAGACTGCTGGTGCATTGCTGCAGACCTGGCAGTTCTGCTACAGTCACACTCCAGGTTTACCCCAGTGGTGGCACTGAGGGGGTAGGAAACCACATCCCTCCATCCCCTCTCCCTTCCTCTCCCCTTCCTTCCCCTCCCCTGGAAGCTGGTTGATGGCTCTGTTTATGGAGCCTCCAGGAAAGCGGTCTTTGTTGTAAAAGGCCAAAGTTCATCAACTTCCATTTACATCAGTAAACATGAACAATTCTTCCTGAGCCCAAGAAATCAATTCCCACAATACATCAGCCAGTCATGCTTTAACAGACTGAATTGAAATGCCCCTTCTCATCTGCATCAGAGGAATAAAACTGATCCTATCGCACAATGTGTAAAGATGGGAGGGGAAGAGGGAGCGGTACTCACCATTGCACATGCAACGCGCATTCCTGTAGAAGCGGGGACACACAAAACTAATTCGTGCTGTGCTATAGGTCATCAGGGAATGCGAATCAATAGATAGACTTTGCTCACAGTGTTGTTCCTGACAATCCAGTCCAGAGCAATTCTTCTCCAAGATAGCAGAAATACGAATCACATTTTCCAAATGTCTCCTTGCATTGGTAAGCTTCTGAATCAAATAGGCAGGCTTATAGAAACCACTGTTGTGCATCTGAACTGCAAACAGCATGTCAAGCTGATTGCTGCCTGCCACCGGCTGAATACTGATGATGTGTAGGCTGTCTTGTTTTTGGGAGAGCACTGCGTTGCGTAAGGTACGCCTGAACCCATGCATGTGGAGGCCCACAAAGTCTTCTGGGGAAACATTCTCAAAACGGATGGTGACTGTGTTCTGCAGCATTTCTTGTAGCAATTGCTCAACGTGGACCACAACATCGATGGGTACCTGGAACCGGCCATCACTGACAGAGACATTCAGGACATACTTGCCGTTATCGAGCCCTCCAAGAGCAATGATCTTCCCATCATGGCTGTTGACCTTGAACAAACTTTTCTGCTCTGATTTTAGCGTATATGTGAGGACATCGTACACATCCTGATCTGTGGCATGAATTTTCCCAATGACTCCCCCCGGGAAATCATCTTCCATGGTGACAATGAAAATCTCCAGTGGAATGGCAGTTGGTTTGTGAATGCTCTCTTCAATAACCCTCACCTGAACATAGGTGTGGGAAACCTGCTGAGGTCTCCCAGAGTCCTTTGCCTAGTGTAATTTATAAAAAAAATAAAAAAGAAAAACCAAAATAAGACACACATAGGACACAGAATACAGCCAAACACCGTAACACCTTGCTAGGTATATTTTCACAGCATCAGTAATTCTGAAGACCTCTCAAGAGAACTTCCCAAATACAACTGCAAAATATAGATGTAAAGAAATGTCTCAGCCATTTCTAGCAGTGGAACTTACAAACTCTTTAGGGAAGCACAGATATCTCATCTAAGTGGATTGCAGAGAGAAATGTGTCAGCAGAATGTCTCATTACTCAAACTGAAATGTTCCCAGGATCCCATAGCTATCACTTGTCCTCTTCATGACAGAGCCATCTGAATGTGGTATATTCTGCACCAAATGGAGTTTGGTCTCACTTCTACCCTGGAAAGGAGACTGAATCCCACTGAAATACCAGCATCAGTTTCTGCATTGCTTGGTATGCTCCAAAGTGTTTCAGACCCTGCCTCGTTTGTGTGGATGTGAGGGAGTTCAGAATTTTTCTGCAGTGCTCTGTACTACTTTACCTGAAGCAATCAAGAAACATGCTTGAAATAAATAAAATTTATAACCCTCCAAAAATGAAAAAGGGTGCTTGTACTGTTACCAATGATAAAATATGAGAGCAGTACTGCACTTGGACAGATGACTATATGACCCAGAGCACGTATGATGGCATCATTTGCACTTTTTTATAGAGAGTAAAAGAGCAAGTATGACAAAAAAACCAAGGCCATCTTGATAGAAAGGTGTGCAAACTTGAATCAGCGTCCTTTCTTGCACTAAGAAAAATGTTTCATTTAAGTCACTATTAAGATATACTGCTCCACACATACATTTGCTCCAGAGAAGAACAGAAGACTAAACTACCACAGGGTAGAGATGTTGCACACATTTAAAGATCTTCATATTTGGACATGGGGAGGAAAATTTACAAGCAAAAGAGAAAAAAAAAAAGGTAGGATGGCAACAGTAATACGCATATTGCTAGGAAAGCTTTAGTATCTCTAAGACACTCCAAAAATCATTCAACCTCACTCCTAACAATCCTGGGTAGAGTATCTAAAAAAAGATTTTATGTATTCATGCACATACATACACAGAGATTACACCCCACTCCACTTTCAATTTTAACATTACTTTTTAATAAAACTAACACAGAGGAGGAACCTGATGGTGGAAAAGAGAAAGCAGCACTCTGGCACATAAGAATGGAAATAAACATTTCTATGGTCTATACACAACAGGAAATGATAAAATATGTTTTCACTGCAGAAATCCCTAAAGAAAAGAATACTGGGAGGAATTAGGCCTCCACAATCCAACAGTGTGGTTTTCTGAACATGTTAGTGCATCTCAGACATTGTGGTCTGTCTAATATTTCCTTTGTATGACATACTTGGATCTGTATAGCTAGGGGATGCTGCTCAAATTTAATTCTCATGCCCAGTTTTGGCTATACAGGAACATTGGCTAGCAAATTGCCTGAAATCAGAGTATTTTAGGATGAAGGCATGGTAAAAATGAAACATGAGGTTTTTTTATTTTCCTACAAGGCTCAAAAAATAGGTTTCAGAAATATTAAATGGCAAACTTGTAAAACTTTACTCTAATTAGCATCAGAGCTTGTATTTTTTGAATTGTAACTAACTGAGGATGTTACTGCTGTGAACAGCACTAAATGTTCTTGTAAGGGAGCACATAGGCTGTACTTAGAGAAATCAATCCCAGCAAAGCAAGTGGAGGAAGCCTGCATTTCAGACTTAGCTGATAGGACCATGTCCCATTGCAATGAAGAGGTGTAGTTCATTCCCTAGACTTGCATATTTACTAAACTCTACTATATTATTTCTGGCAGGCCTGAGAAATGTGAACAAATTACTTTTGGATTTACAGTTTTTTGTAATCAAAATTACCCTGGTTACAAAGTTCTTCAAGAATTATTCTAAAGCTAAGTTTGATCTGGGCTTCTATTGCATGTCTTATTTTCACATTCTTTAAAAGCTAAGTTGACCTTGGAAATGTGATTTCATGAATTCTTGGTAGGCTTCCAAAAATTTATGGTTAAATTTATGACTTAAAAGCAGAAGTGATTTTCCTTCCTAGAACAATATTTTGATGTCACTCTTTCTGTGCTGTATTTATATGTACATAAAGTATTTTTGCTTATTTTCCTCGCTTAGCTACAGGAAAAAAAAAAAAAAAAAAAAAAAAGAAGAAAAAAAGATGAAAATCTTAAATCATAACGGCCACTGCTCAGAAAATCCATTTCATGCAGAGGAAATTGGAAAGGTGGCTGGCTACCTATTTATATGAAATTAGGTTTAAGCACGTCAAAGGAAATACACCATACTGTGCACTTGTAAACTGGAATGCGTGGCATTTACTCACAGAATACAGTCCATTAAAATCAACCCATACAGGCAATGTACAGATGACGTACCACTATGAGGGGTTTTTTGTTTTTTTTTTTGGTGCAGATGCAAAAATCAAGCCGTACCTGCACGCAGAGCACATATTCGGTTGCAACCATGTGCTTGAAGATGACTGCAGATCTCAAGATGCCGTGAGGGTCCAGAGTAAACTCCTCCTCTTCATTGCCAGTGAGGATGGTGAAGGTAAAAGGGGGGCCATTGTGAAAAGAGTCTTTGTCTGTCACTACCAGCTGCAAAATGCTTGTTCCCACTGGTTTATTTTCCTTTACACATATACACAGCATACAAAGAAAAGGATTAAAATGATACACATCACAATCATAAACCATCACGTTTCGCTTTTGAGAATATTCAACTGAATGCTCTTTGCCCAAGATGGCATTTCCCAAGCAGTGGTTATGTGACACCGTTTACGCCCCATGGACTGGTAGCAGAGATAGAGGTACCCACCACATCTCCAGGGACTGATGAGCTCTGCCTCATACTGTGTCAGGTCAGGACTGACTAACCATTAAGACTCACGCCCTGAGCAAGGTGTAAAGAAGTGCGAACTCAAACCAGCTCAGACTTTTTGAGGCCAGAGCACCTGGTGCAGCAGGGATGAAGGGTGAAATGTGCGACAGATGCTGAGGTTAAGGAGCCTCAGCAAACAGAAACTTACCAAAGGCTTAAGAAAGACGTGTTTATACTTTCCTTTAAATAAGATCACTCGATACATCTTCTGCAGATAAATCATCAAAAGCCACTTAACTGAAACCAAATGTTTTCATATTTTAAAAGTCAAAGAAGTTTTTGATGTGCAGGATAAACTTACTTGAATTACAGCTGTATAGTTAGCTGGAGTAAATACAGGGCTATTATCGTTCACATCAGAAATGTCCACGTTGACCGTCACAGATGAAGACAAAGGAGGGGTGCCGCTGTCTCTTGCCTGGATAACTAATGAATAACCAGATATCTGCAAAAAGGTGAAAACATTAAATCATTGTGAAAGTGGTCCTAAATTTTAACTCCTGTTCTTTACATCCAGTGCACCAGCTACCACATTCTAAGGTAAGATGTTTGGCCTCATTACCTTCCCTACCCTTAGTATAACATTATCCTGTTTATTGCCTCACTGTGTCCCAACTTCTGTTTTATAAGGCTATCAATAAACATAAAAGCTTCACTGTATTAAAATAACTGTATCAGATGACACATTCCTGAAACAAAGGGGCAGACAAAAAATAAATGATGGAAAATATCTAAACTCAGCCGTTACTACTGTAACTAACATTTTCATCTCTCCTAGGTGTCAGCTGGGATATGTGACCTGATGCTATTTATCTTACGGTTGGTTTCCAGGATATTATATAAATTGCTTATTAGAGCCAACCTCAGTTTGACACACACTGTTTCTAACTTGGTGATGGAGAACCAAGAAGAAGTTCAGAGGCAGCTGGCTTAAACACACTGGAAAACATTTGGGACTACTAGAGACAACAGTCTTTGTAGCAACAGGATATTATTCACCATTCAGTAGAAGATAAGGGTTTTTTGAGCCTACTTGTTTGCAACAGACACAAACTCCTCAGCACGGTGTGGGCAGTTCAGCACATCACCCATGGGCCCTCTACACACATATGTGCCCATGCATGAGGTGTGAGCATATGTGACAATCTGCAAAAGCTCTGTCTATGCACAGCTTATGGATGACAATTTGTTTTTATGAACTGCATCCTTATGTCAGCTTCTCTACATCTTACAACTGCTTTTTACTGTATACAGCAGCTCCATGCTTCCCAGGGAGAGCTGCTGACATGTCCTCCTGTGAATCCTTCTAAGGGAGTGAGTAAAAGTAGGAGGAAATCCAAAGCCATTTGAAAAATGAAAGCCATTTGGATAGGAGGGAGGAGTCCAGGTTAAGTGTATGAAACAAGGAGGCTTTTCTGGGATGTGAGACTGACCTAAAGAAAAAGGAAACAGTTTTCTTGGGGGTTTTAGGAGAAAGACTGCAATTTAGTGGGGGCACAGAGAAACAGGACAGATGAAGAATCCTGAACTATGGGAAATCAAGAAGCTAAGGCTGAGAATTATTTTTTTATTAAATTAAAAAAAATATTATTTTTTTTTTCCCTTTTGAGCTGTGATTTCTACTGTTAAAGACAAGACTGAGAGTTTTGTGGGATCTTTCCCAAATTTTGTCTGTTTTTCTTTTCATTTCAATGTACCCTAGAAAGGTAGATGGCAAATGTCATGGTTTCTATGTGATTACAGCTCTGCAAATGAGTTTCCTTAAACCACTGAAACCTGGGAGTCAGCACTGCCTTTGGGGATCTACAGCAGATGGGGCACCATGTATCATTTTCCCTGAAGGGGTCAGAAACACCTGTGTCTAGGAAATGTGCCAAGGAAGCAAAGAAAAAGACAATATCCCAGCTTATTTTAACCCAGTGAAACTTTGGAAAATGCAGATCTAACAGAGCTGGCATTAAACATGTATACACCAGTGAGGGTGAAAGTGTGTGTCTGAATGCAGATATACATGAGTGCACTTCAGAAACTAAATAAAAACATATTAAGAAATTAAGCTTGTGTTATTTAAGAGAAATATATTACAGCAAATTTGTAATATGCACAACCATTGTTAATTCCCTGTCCTTGACAATCTGTGGTAAAGTTATTCTGCCATAAACACTGTCAATTTAATCCTGCTTCTGTAACAATACAGAAAGGATATTATTCACCACTGTTTTAAGCAGCAGCAGCCCTGCTGCCAGTAGAGAGCTTTTCCAGCTGAGCCAATATTCTGAGGACAGCAATCAGCTTCCCCGGTTTCATGGATGCTCTGCTCGGAGGCAGGAGGCATGGATTTCTTTGTGTGTTGCAAGACTTTTGAAGCCATGCAGCATCCTCCCACCCTGCTAGTAGCACAGGCAACTGTATTTGTTTGGTTTTTTCCAAAAGCTGCTAATTGCTAGCTATGGCAAAAAAGGTGATAAATCACCCTGAATGAATAACCTAGTGAGCAAACAAAACAGCAGAATCTGTTTAATGAAGCACTCTTTCACTTTTGGTACAGCCTGGCCACTTCATAACATCACCTCCCCAATGACATGTTTTGCAGAGCGCTAATTAATGGCTGAGGTCTCAGCTCGGTGCTCGGTGCCACAATCTGGAGTATGTTGTAATCACTCCGTTGCACACACTGCCGCACGTGTGCACTTGCACACGCAGCTTATTAACACAGCATCAGCTGCTGGTGGCACCTCACGAGAAATCCAAGGTTGCTTTTTTCCCCAATCTGGCCTCAGTTGCTGTGTTGGTGCAGGATGGGAATGCTAGCAGAGAAGTTGGCTTGTAGATAGGATTGGGGTGGGAAGCAGTGGAACAACACTAGAAAGACCTGTTGGAGCATCTTAGGCTGATTGTGGCATAGTATAAAAGAAGCTTCTTCAAAGCAAACTATCAGAAGAATTGGGATCAATACACATCTGTAAATCTTTGTAAGTTAAGAAGTCACACATGTCTTACCCTTTCTCTATCCAATTTCTTTTTAACCTTCAGAAGTCCCAAAACAGGATCAACTGAAAATTCATTGTCTCGATCCCCATTCACTATGGAAAAATGAATCTGGCCATTGGGAGGACTGTCCAGATCTTCTGCTATCAACTTTTTTGGGAGAAGAGTAAAAATTAGAAAAACAAATATTAAGCCATCTGTATGATACATTAATTGCTCAACACCCCAAAAAGTCAGACTTCATATTCCATCAGACTAGTTACATCTGAACTGCACACCTCTACAGCATCAAGCCAAACATCAAGCCAATCAGTGTTTGATAGGAGGTTCCACTTGGACCTTTTCAAAATTCTAGCCTTAAAACATACACAATATTTTAATCTTAATATTCCATATAACACTTTATTTCTGGATCCACAAGATCCAAGATGAGAGTATTGTGAGGTTTAGGTGGGGCACACTGCATGCCAGACTACACAGATAATATGTATTTCACTGAAAAGTTGAATTCTGCCCTTCCAATAAAACCCACTTGTTTCTAGCTGCCTCATGAAATGCAATGCCTTAAACATGTCAGTGTTCTTTGACAATATATTTGGGTTAAAAAGAAACAGCCAGTACCACTACTGCTTTCTTTCTGGGGGCAACTGGCGGCAGCTTGGAAAGCAGTAGCAGACACAGAGCATTGGCTAGAGAACAGTTTGGCTGATTGAAGATGCAGGAGTTATCATTATTAACTGGTGTTATTAAAAGTCATGTGGCACAGGGCTTCATCCCACCTAAATGCTGCCTACAGCCTCGCTCACCATTATCACCGAATCACCGATGGCGGCATCCTCGCTGATGACTGCACTGTAGACCACCTGGCTGAATTTTGGTGCGTTGTCATTGACATCTGTCACGTTTACATTCACAGTCGTCACAGCGCTCAGGGCTGGAGTACCTCCATCTTTTGCTTCCACTACTAAGTAGAAATCCTTACACGATTCATAATCCAAAGCTTCAAAAATGGAAATTGCTCCTTTGAAGCAAGGGAGGGAATGTCAACAGTCAGCAAAAAACAAATAATGCTACGGACTAAGGGATTTGACTGTAGTAAACAGTACAGTGTGTCATTTATCACCATGGCACACATACAAAATATTTTGTTCTAACAGTAACACTGCCCAATCCAATAAAAATATTTGGTCAGGTTTCTACTGCTGTCTTTTGATTAAAGAATGATGCCAATTGCACTTGGGTTGCCTCTGCAGAAAGGACCTTCACAAGATATGAAGCAAGTAATGGTTTATAATGAAAATACTTTTTATTATATGAGTGTCGTAGACAGAGAAGTGGGGGCCATATCCACCCATTCGCCTGGGCTTATGCACAGAGCCTGTGGGAGAACTGGATGCCGGCTCTGGAAATCAGCCCTGACAAGTCAACAGAAATTCACTCCCACGTAATTAACTTCTCATGAATTAAATACAAATGAATGGGGTATGAATACCTTTGAGAAATGTCTATCATTTATGTGATTAAACAGGGACTTCCCCACTGAACTAGGTTTATAAATTTTGGGTTCCCTCACCACACAACTCAAAATTAAGATTCTCTGTAACCTGACTCACTCTGTGCACCCAGACCCCCTCTAGGATCGAAATTATTTTTATGCAAGCCCTCCACCAGTTTCTCATGTGCCCATAAAATTAACATGATGAGAGGAGTGGCTTGTTCACAGATTACCAGTGATGCCTTGAAGGATGTAGTACTGGGCATGGCAGGAAAGACTTAAAAGCAAATCCTTAACCTTGGGCAAGCCAAATCCTTTTCAATACCCATCAGGAGCAGGGATGTATGGGGCTTAAAGGTCATTTAGTCCACTGCTGCCCAAAACAGGTCAGTTAAACCCAATAATTCTTGAAGGTACTCATCTCTAATGTTCTTATAAACTTTCAACAACATCAGTTTCCTAACCTTCTTAGGAAATTTATTTCAGTACTTAATAATCATTACAGTTAGGAATTTCTTCCTGTCATTTAACCAAAATAATCCAACGGCAACTTAAGCCCATTCACAACTTCTTTCCTCATGAGTGGGCATAGAGAACAGTTTATTCCCCTCCACTTCATAGGTACTTTTTATAGACTTGAATACTAACAGCATGTCTTCTCTTTTCTAGTTTAAATAGCCTCAAGTCCTTCAGTCTTCCCTGGTAAGCCACATTTTACAGACCTCAGATCATTCTTCTTAATATCGTCTGGGCTCTCTCCAAATGAATCCTACCTTTCAGCATGACTTGCTGGAAGCAGAAGCCCTGAAGAGAAGCTTCCAAGTGGCTAGCAGAGAGCTCCCACTGATAAATGGTGTGAAGGACATTATTTTTCAAGGCCTGATCAGGCATGCTACATCAGCAGCCAGTTGTCTGGAAACTGAGCTCCTGCCTCTAAACTGATAATAATGGAGCTGTCATACATTAATGAATAATAAATAGTTTTTTGTTTTGTTTTTGTTTTTTTTTCCATGTGTGATTAAGCTTCATTATGGGTTTTTATTGATTTATCTCCTTGGGTCATTGTCAAATGTGAAGTTAAGTATCGCTGTCTCGGTGTATTTATGTTTAAATTTTGTTAGCACTAATCAACATTATGAAGACAACAGACAACACACAATTATGTTAAGTCCATTACATGTAAGGTAGTGGCCTCCCCAGAGGTCTCCCTCCGCAAAATCCGGAGAGAGATTTTTGCACACGGTAATATAAATGATACAATGCATCATTTTGATATTTTCCAGGTTGCCCGTTGTTACAGCTGCACTCAAACAAGTGTTACCTTCAGCTTTCAAAATCAAGATTGTTTTGCTCTGAAGCTCTGGTGGCAGATTTGTACTGGTCACCCTGAATGTTATAAGAGGATCCACTACATGAAGCACAGAAGAATCATAGCTTACTGTTGACAGATTAAAACCTCAGCAAGGATAAAGAATATATCCCATTAAGGACATTGTAAGAAAATGAGCCATTTGCAGCAAATAAGGTAGCTCCTCTTAGTATTTCTTAAAGAGAAGCAGAAGTATGTTTTTAAATTTTGTGATATATAACAAAAAAAACCAAACCACACCATGGCTGAAGTCAACTGTCAGACAACACGAATCAGGAGCAACTTACGTCAGTGAAGTTGCATACAGTTGTATAAACAGCAGTCTCACGTTAGGACCACCAGCTATTCAGTCCTGACAGCACTGTCTGATGCTTACTAAGGTCCAGACATGAGGCTGAACTCGGCTGGTAAGCAGGTAAACATTGTAAGCATTCATCACTGTAAGGGTTGCACAGTTTGGCTAACGGGTTGTCACATCTACATTGACTTCAACAGATATACTAATGGAGAAAAGTATTCTCCACTCGTGCTGGGGCAGCTGAGTGTGCCTGTAATTTACATCACTCTCCAACCTAAAACTGGTTTTTAACTGTGCAACTAATTGCATATTGACAAGCTCTGAGTCTCTGTTCTTGGAATTATTTTGGTCCCAGAGCCTTCTCCAAAGCATTCACATTTTTCTGATGCTTTCATTTTGTACTAAAAGTAAGAGCCACTCTACAAACCTGTTTTTGAGTTAATCCTGAACTTCCCTTTCTCATTCCCTGATCTGATGAAATAGGCAATCTCAGCATTAGTACCAATGTCTTGGCTTGTAGCAAAAACAGAAAGGACCTCAGTGCCTGGTAAGGTGTCTTCAGGTACTGTGACAAGATAATCTCTTCTTTCAAACACAGGGGGGTTGTCATTAATGTCTAGCACTGTAATGGTAACGGTGGCAAACGAGGACAAGGTCAGCACAATGCTCTGATCTGAAGCCTTTACACTGATGTTATAGGAAGACTGAAACTCTCTATCAAGTGGATGCTCCAAAATAATGATTCCTGATGACCGATCAACTGAGAAGTAACCATCTGCAGAGTCTGCCAGGGAATAGGTAACTTTTCTGTTCACACCTGAAAGAGAAGCAAATGTGAAAATGATAAAGTGAAATAAAGAAAGCAACAACATCTTCCCATCTAACAAAAACCATAAACAAAAGCTGCTATCACACTGATCATTTCCAGTGGGGGCGAAGCACATGGAGGTAGGTGTGCCTGTGGGTACGGTATTGCTCAAAGTTTGGGAGATCAGGACATGCTCTTCTCACATGTCAAATCCCCATGGATAAGTTTAGTTCCTTCCCTCATCATGATACTTTTAAAAAAAAAATCACTTTGCAGAACTGCTGTGTAATGGAACTTGAAAGCAGAATGTAGATATGGTCCTTGCCCAGGAAAGCTTACAATTGAATTAGATGAGACAGGCAGAATGCTGAAATTGGAAATGTCTCAGAGTGCATCTTGAAGGAACAGAAATGTACAGAAGGAAAAAATAAACCCATAAAAATACATCAGGTGGCACAGAATGTACTTGCTACCAGTGCCTTGATTCCACTGTTGAGCAGCAAAATATTATCATAAGATAATACCTGTTAGACAAAAGTTGCATCAAAGAACTCCTGCCAGAATATGGACATTTCAGAAAGGAAAGTTCCCCACTTCCCCAATTTGAGAGCAAAAATTGAGTTGTATGAAGGATATCTTCTGTTTTTCAAATCCTGCCTGTATTTCCCAATACATAACACCTATCCACCCAGCTGTTGAATATGCAGATCTATGCTAAGGTTGTTGTCAGTAATATGGCCTGAGGGGAAGGTACTGACTTGGTTGCTTGGTGCCCTACAGTGGGATAGCCATTTCAAATCTAATTAAAAGTGAACACAGATACAACCTAATTCAACTCCCTTGATGCTGGTTGATTTAATGGTTTGGTCCTGGGTGTTTCACCAAGAGATTATAACTAAAACACAAAGATCAGCTAAAATGGAGAGTCTCTGGTTTTCACATCTCTCACTTGAGTATTCGCTGCCCTTTTTGTTGGAGAACAGACTTTACAAGACTGACATTAATCAGACAAACAAGAGCTACCAATCCCTTCTAGGCATATTTTGTTAATTTAAAATTTGTGACAGTATTATTCTGCTTTCCAGCAGCAAAGCATTGTAGAAATGTCTGATCAAAAGCAGCACAAATCACAGCTGTTTTCTGCTTGACGTAGCAGGAGTAAAGCGTCCACACAAGGGGGAGCTGGGAGACTCTTTCTTCAGTCATACACACATAAAAGCTAGAGCAACTACAAAGTCCCAGCCCCTACATGGAAAGTGCTAGGAATTACTATTTGGCCTCTTCAGGGATTAAAGTTTTATGCAGTGCTTGACATACCAGAGTGTATTTCAAACACTCAAATGTCTTTAAAATAAGGAAAATTTTAAAAGGTGGTATTGCAATGAACCAGCTTTTTTTTTTTTTTTTTTTTTTAAATCACAGTAGAATTTCCCTATTCACATCAAATTTCCCTATTCATCTCAAATGTGAAAAATACAGAGGCTTTCCTTTAGCAAAATGGGCAATGCAGCCGAGGAGGTGACTCCTGTCCTACAGACGAGGAACTGAGCTCAGCCCATGAACTAGTACGAGACTCTTTCATGTTTTGAAATACCTAGATTCTGAATACCCTACAGCCTTCTGGAGACCACGCTCACCCCTTCACTCAGCCTCTTTATACCTGCATCCAAATGATCTATCAGCTGACAATCAATCAAACTGATAAAAGTGACAAAGGAGTAAAACCCTTTAGAAAGTGAAAGGTTTTGAGGGTCTTAATGGCTGGAGGTGTGTCTACATTTCCAGTTGGGGAAAATCTCCTTCTGCTAGAAATCCTCCCCCAACTTCCACTTACAAAAAGGGACAGATCTGACTAGAACAATTAATGAGCTAGTAATTAGAGATGATCCCTGGGGATACTGGAAAAGGGGATCTTGCCTGATTCAGAGCATGCAGTTGAACACCCAACCTACATATGAGTTTTAACTGTAAAGCTATTTAGTATTCTGTACTGGGCCTTCTAGATGTCTGCCAGTTTCTACATAGAATTAAATACTTCTCTGAAGCAGAGACCCTAACACACACCTACCACGCATATGCATCTGTGATTGCAGGAGAGCCTTAGTCTGGTTTTTCTCTGGCACAAAAACCTTAACTGATACTCACTACAGCATATCTGGGTACAACACAGAAGATTCAGATGCCATGGTCTTTAAAGGTATAACTAGCTAGAAAAGAGATGGCCTACCCATGACTTGTGCCTTGAAACACTCCAAAACTTCATCAAGAATATCTTGCAAGAAGGGGTGGGGAGAGACAGAATTTGGTGCACGTGACACCATGTAGGGTGAGTTTACATACAAGTGATAACTCCAGTGACTGTAATCTGACCAATACATCATCAGACCAGTCTCCTTGTATACTGTTTCCTAAAGATGATGGCCATTGATTAACAAAACATGAAAAATGTTTTTTGATAAGTGATTGCTAGTGATCCTACAATGGAGACGTTCAGACACAGATTATGGTGTTCTGGTTGCTACCTCTAATATAAGGGATTTTTAGGTAGAAATTGAGAGAAATACTTCTTGTAGGCAAGTTTGTGTTTGGTTTTTTTTTTGGGGGGGATTGGTCTTTTTTTCCTTCCTGAAAACAAGACAGGAATACCAAAGTTCCAGGGATGTGGGTTATATTGTACCAATCTGGTTTGATGACAAAACCAGTCATATCTTTCCCATAGGACCTGGAGGAAAAGCTTTTACAGGTGAAAATGCTATTTAATGCATTGGTACTAATGCTGAGATTGCCCTAAGATGAGGGCAGAAGATGTGATCTGGGACACCCACAGATACCAACCCTTGGCAGCTTTCAGCCTGAATGCAGAGGCAGAATAGAAAGAGAAATACAGATCTCAGCTGCTTGCTGACCTTCTCCCATAGAGTTTTGTGGGGATGAAGTTTAATGCTTGTCTCCTGGGAGGAAAATGAATTAAATAAAAAGCTGTGGCAGATACAGCACTTTGAAGAAAGTGTGTTAGAGCAATAGCTATTTCCACTCAGCTTCCTCACTTGAGGCTGGAAAGAAAATGGGTACAAGGCAAAGACGAAGTAAGAAGTTACTTCTACTGAAATCCAAAATGCTTTAGTCTAGGGGCTACCATCTGCTGAGAGAGAAGTGTCCATCAGTGTGTGTCAATGGCATCCCTGCCATGGAGATGATGGCAGATTCTGTTGTTACTACAAAGGACATGTTTTCTGTCGAAAGAAAACAACTGCTCCAACACCATGGCTCCTGCACTGGTAAGGAGAGCAATCCTCCCACACTGCTTGCCCACAGCTGTTGAGGGATTAATGTCTGTAAATTGTGTATCTATGCACTCACTCACTGAAACTTCTCAGATTTCTAAGGTGTCAATCATAAACTACTTGAACATGGAAAGCTTTGAAGGAATTACTATTCCTATAAGAGGATTGCAGTTAATTTTTATAATAAAGGAATAAGCAAGCACATTTTCTATTTGCTTGTTATTAGCATATAGAAGATATGAATATTGCCCTTTGCCAAATCTCTGGTGTGAAGAGGTTGTACAAGATACAGTTGTCTAGTACCTCAAATGCCATCCTTCAAACAGGATTTTTTGCCTTGTTTTCTTCTGTACTAAAACAAAGGGGCATGCACTGAATGTCACATAATGACATCTTCTATGTCATTACTACTTTAAATAGCACCAGGGAAATAAAATAACTTCTCTTTATAACTAAAATTTCTCCTTGTCTAACTCATAGAATCACAGAACCATCTAGATTAAAAAGGAGCTTTAAGATCATTGAGTCCAACCATAAACCCAGCACTGCCAAGTCCACTACTAAACCATGCCCCCAAGCACCACATCTACATGTCTTTTAAATACCTCCAAGGATGGTGACTCAACCACTTCCCTGGGCAGCCTCTTCCAATGCTTCACAACCCTTTCAGTGAGAAATTTGTCCTAATATCCAATCTAGACCTCACCTGGCACAACTTGAGACCATTTCCTCTTGTTCTATTGCTTGTTACTTGGAAGAAGAGACCAACCCCCACCTCTCTACACCCTCCTTTCATGTATTTGAAGAGAGCAAGAAGGTCTCCCCTCAGCCCCCTTTTCTCCAGAATAAACAACCCGAGTTCCCTCAGCTGCTCCTAATAAGACTTGTTCTCCAGCCCCTTCACAAGCTTCATTGCCCTTTTTTTGGACATGCTCCAGTGCCTCAATATCTTTCTTGTAGTGAGGGGTCCAAAATTGAACACAGTGTTCAAGGTGCAGCTCAATCCAAAATGATGGAGTTACATCATGGTTTGATCCAGACACTAATTAAAAGGCTCAGCATAAACACAACAGGCATAATCCCCATGTGTTGCACACCTGCCTGCCAATGGGAAGGAGTGAGTGAATTCCTTGTTTTGCTTTGCTTGTACACAACTTCTGCTTTACCTGTTAAACTGTCTTTATCTCAAGCCACGAGTTTTCTCACTTCTACTCTTCCAATTCCCCCATCCCACTGGGAGGGAGTGAGTGAGCGGCTGTGCAGAGCTTAGGTGTTAGCTGGGATTAAACCATGCCAATATGTTCCAGTGATCCAATTTAAATACAGGGCTTATTCAGTCAACATAATCCAAGAGATACAATTTTCTTTGTCTAGTTCTTTGCCTCCATGTTCTTAATAATGTCTGGGAAATCTCAAAAATTAAAGAAATTAATAGAAATGAAAAAAATATAAAGATAGCAGGAATCTTGTGAGGTCATCTAATTTATCCCTGAACAAAGAAAAGATGGATGCAGTTTATACCCAAACACAGGCCTATGCTTTGATCATGAACTTCCATAACCTCCTTGGATAACACACCCCAGTGCCGCACTTATCTTACAACTAAGAATCTTGTTCTGAATCCTTTCAGAGATTGAATAAAAAGAATAAAAGACGAGGGGAAAAAAAAAAGAACAAAGGTTGACTTCCTTCCTCAGAGTTACTTGTCTGATATCTGAAGATTTT